ACTACTCATGACATCACAGTTGAATAAAACAATGGAAATTATGATTGCCATTGCTACTGAACCTGGAGGAGCAAGAGGCTGAGAATTATCAGATACCAAATATCAGGACATACGTCAGATGGTACATCTGGTGCGGTCGAAATCAGTAGAAGGCTACGTAGTCATCTGGCTCCCAAATTCCCCGGTTAACGCAACGTGGCACATTGAAAAAGGAGGGCCACGTGTAGCCCCGCAGACCCACATGCGAAAAGATATTACATGCCAAGCGCGCTAAGGATGATGCTCGTTCACTCGACCGGGGCGAATCGGCCGAGGGAGGTCGGAAAAACAGTCGACCTTATAGCTCCGACACAAATAAGATGTGCGTGTGCACACACACATAGACGAACACTCACAAACAGCGTTCCGCATGCGCACACGGCTGTGTACAGACATTCACATAGGCGTGTGCGTGTGTGCAAATGCGTCTGGGCCGAACGATAGTAATAACCAATCAGCTCATCAGGAGTGGATCAAGAGCCGGTTACACAGAGGGGACAGGCACCTGTAATGTGTGCGTGCGTGCGCGTGCCAACGAGCAGTGTGCCTACGTGTACACAGCTGCACGCTGCGGTCTGTCTATAATCGCGCGGTCAGTGAAGCACGACATAAGTTCGATTGCTGGAATCAGCTTACGGGGTTGAAAATGGGCTGATGTTGTTCGACCAGCGTGAGTGGCCTAATACTGCAAGTCACTAAGTCGTGGTGCCACCTCAAACGGTCGTGTGTGTGCGCATGTGTGGATCGATGAGGGAAACCGGAAGAATTTTGTGGGCTGGTGTAGCCCAGCGGAGCAATAACAGTATTGTATTAGATACGGAAAATGGCGATTGTGAATGAAAGAAATGGACTCCGGAGAATGGAAGACGGTGTGCACGCCCCGAAGAAAACACACCATGAGAAACTCCAAACGTTGCCCCCCCCCCCCCCCCCNCCGAAACCAGCTGCGGTTAACCAGGCAAAAAAACAGATTTGATGAACAGGAAACGAGTTAGCAGGGGATTTTCATCATACCATAGTTACATGATAAACGAGAGTTCAATAACAGCACCAAATCCAAATATGGAGCAGAGGTTAATGAAGCACTTGTGCGTCGTGCTCATCACATTGAATCCATGTCGGAATGTTTGGCTTGATCACGAGGAGAACGAACGGGTAACAAATTTTTGATCACGATATTCTCACCTTCGTGGAAAATCGCTCTCAAGTGAATTAACAAGATGAAACAAGCTGTGAGATAACGGAACGTAAAAGATGACTGATCTTGCTCACTGCTTCAGAAACAGCTTGTTCCATATTCATGTGATCATTGACTTGAAAAGGCCCTCCAAATGGGTCGAAACCTTGACGCCCAAAACTCGTTTTCAGTTCTCTGCAGATTGGATTAATCGCGACGATTAATCCGAACATTCATCGAGGCAGAAAATCTCAGATGGCCATTTCTTATTTTGGAAAGTGGAATGGAAACGACGCAAAACTTACCTTCGATCGCAAGACTCAGCACTACCTTCAAAAAGAACTAGAGGGGTTACAACGCTGGTTGTATCAACAGATACCAGCCAGAATAATGAAAGTAAAGTATTCAAAGAAATGTACTGGATACCAGTGGTCTTAAAACTTCTGATTTTTAAAGGCTCGAACTAAATCACAGAAGGAACCAGAAAAAGTCTGTTGAATTTTATCGGCAATTAAAAGTGGAACAGAAGGCGCCAGGAGCCGTGCGAAACTAACGGTGTGGAGAGACTGAACTAAAGACCCAGTTGGTCACACGATTGGGACGGATCAATACAGGCAACTGTTTTTCTCCCGGCATATTTGAGTGACACTCACCTCGTCCAATTTCTTCAAAAGACGATCGCGTTCCTCAGTTAGCACAGATAATGAGGACTCGGTTTTGGTCAATTTCTCTTCAAGCTGATGGATTAGACCCAGGTTCGGTTGCATTGTGAGAACAGGAAGAGAGAGAAAACAAATTGAGGTAACTTAATCAATCAGTTTGTAGTTAAGAGAAGCTACTGATCACTAGATTTACCAATGCAATGACATGCGGTTCAGATACTTTGATTGATAACAAGCTCCAGTCCGAAAACAAAGAAGAAAAAGCTTCTCAACAAGCATAGAGGGGCGGATAAATTTCAATTATGGTACAGTGAAGCGACTGAACGGTGGAACAGCAATAGGAAAAGCAAACTATCGTCACAGATGATGCCAAAACGGACACCCCGCGATACCGTTTAATGCTTTACCCACTGATCACACCCATCCCGGTGGTCACAACACACAATAGGAACACGAATCTTCAAGAATTTGTTCGAGTATACCAAAAGTTTCATACCTTTTCACTTCGGATTACAGTCTAACTGAACTTGATTATATTCCAGCCCCCACCTATCCCACCCGCATCCCACGCGACAAATGGCATGGATGTGGACGTGCTCAATGGAAATCAAGTATTTTGGTTAATGTTTGACCACTGAAGTTTGTCTAATTCTCACATTCCTTTCTTGACATTCACATAAGACTTATGCAACACTACGAAAAAGTTGTTCAAGTTCAGGCAGCCTTTGTCGGTTTCGAGACGCAACCGCCATATCTTTGCAACACAAACTAGGACTGATGGGACGCTGTAACACACATTCGATCCTTCACGGACAAACGAACACTGTGGCGACATCATCAAAAACCAGATTAGCGAAGTTTGTTTGATACTCGTACACCAGATTTAGCTACACTCTTTCTAGAACTTCCCCGATTGGATTGAGCGTGGGACAAACTCAATCCCAAAACGTCATTTCACACTTCGGTGCAAAACACCGGTCAGACTTGAGATAAGTTTCCGTTTCTGGATAAATTATTACATCAATCAACTGTAACCGACATTCTCACAAAAAGGTCGAGCCAATACCAAAGTATTACACATCGGAATGTTAGAATGAACAGTCGAAAGACAGCAGTCTAAACAGGCGTTGTGTGTCACGGCGAGTTATAAGATGGACGTGTTTGATCACGTGTATCACGTTTGCCCGAACCCACTGCAGTCTTACGTTATCCGTCAGTCCAAGTCCCAGGGATTGCACTACCGGTTAACACAACTGGACAAAATTCTATTGTGGTTGTGGGACTCAGCCTCAATCACTGTCTAGCACACCACACAACGGACTCGAATTTGACCATACACATACACCGAACATACAAGAGAATGGAATTCCTCTGTTACATCATTTAGGAAGAGATACCTCTAGAGCACAATGGTCAAAGATAAAAAGAGGACGGTTCAGGAAGAAAAACAAACATGCGGAACTCATGAAGGTCGGAGCTAGTTTTAGTAGGGATTTCCCCAGGAAAACCAAACCGGTCGTGCGAATCTCCGTGATAGTTCTGGATTTTCAGACACCAATCAAATGTCTCTTCTAGTCGATCTTCTCCCTTTTCTTCAATGACAACACGCCTGTATGACGCGGTACGATTTTCAGGTTCGTGTTAAATTTTCAACAGAACAATATTTTCGTACACGTTTTAAAACAAAGACAAATGAATAAACTGATTTGAGAGAAGACAGAGCGAAAAAAAAACAGTCAAACAGTAGGAACTCGAAAATGCATCGCATTGACAGAGAGAGGGGGAGAGTACATACCACTTCGCATTCCATTCGGGATGCATCCAAGGCTTTTCTCCAGCGTTCTGCTTCTTCATCGACCGAATTTTGGAGCTCGGCCAGCACTGACTCGGTCACATTCAGAGCGGATTTGTAGTGAGCCACCTCCGCTTTCAAGTCTTCGTTGGTGATTTCTTCTGCCGTTCGGGGAATCGGGCTAATGGCAACTGAATTCAGTTTACTGATTTCCAGTTCAGACACACGACCATTTGCACCGGATGAGCTGAGCTCTGATTCAAATTCCGCACCCGGCTCCGGGTCGGTCTGAGTGGTAGCCGCCAGAAGAGTCAGGGCAGAAGCAGCGACCGGTTTCGTATCACTATGTATGACATAAAAAGCAATGAACTCTACGTAACAGCTTGAAATGAACAATGCAACCAATAGAAAAAAGAAAAAATGATCTACCGTCAATATCCAGCAACTAAGTTGTAACTTTGGTCAGTTTTAAGCTTTGGTAATAGGCATAAGGAAGAGAACTCTGGTGGATGACGGGTCAGTTACCACGTAACCACAACGCGCATATAGATGCACAGTCAAAATACGATACTAAAACTGGCGCAGGAAAGTGCGACGTGAGCGATTTTAAAAACTTGAAAACGCAAACTAGTTTTGTTACATGATGGAAAAGGCGATCAATTTTGCAAAAATATGGACACTAGCAATTTTGCGTGTTCTTGGTTTACCCCAAGCCAATTCCCATACTCCCAAGTATGTGTAGGTTTCACTCATCAAGGATTGGTTGTGTTGCGTGATTGAACACTTGTGTCAACTGGCGACGGGTGTTCTAAGGCTATGCGATTTGAGCAGAATCAAAACAAGTTGCTCGAATGCGTTTTTTTTTACGAAAACGAAATCAAGCCAGAGTTACACGAAAGAAAAAGAAGTTGACGCATCAGTGAGACTAACCTAACGGACTGGATGGTCTCCGCGGCCAGAGACGAGGCTCCCTCATGGGACCGACACTGCTCCGACAGTTCGGACAGATTTTGTTCCAGTGATTCACATTTTTCTCGCCAGGACTGAAGCTCCTGTTCTTTTGCGGCCAGTTGCTGACGCAAATTTTCAGTATCAGCACGCAGCTGTGTCAGGCTGGACTCGACCGTTTGCAAACGCGTCCGTTCTGTTTGCTCCTGCTCTTGACTGGCAGAGAGTTGAGCCTCGAGTTGGGCTATTCGTGTGTGTGATTCACCCAGTACCACACTTCGGTCTCGTTCCAACGACTGGGCACGAAGTTCAGCCTCGCGAATAGAGGTTTGAAGTTCCTCCGAGGCATGGCGGACACTCTCCAGTTCAGACAGGCAAGCCTATTACAAAACCAAAGTGGTTACGTCAATTTAAAAAAAGTACCCTCCAATTCAAACGCAATTATTTAACACAATTAATAATGGAGATTTATTCAATGATAACTGAGGAAATTGACAAATTAGTAGGGGGAATCATAGACAAACAGGAAAGATATGGTAAGGCAAATAAAATAATGAAAAAAACCATAACTGCGAGAAGCGAGCTATTAACTGAAAACATTTTTTCCTTACCCATAGAATTTACAAGCCTTTGAGACTAAGTGCGTAGTTTTGCTTTGAAAAATGACACCAATAGGTGCTAATAGCAACAACTAACGAAGCTCAAAGGTTGATAATACAATAAAGTCAAATGGGCGACGATAGCTGTAAACACTTTAAAAGAAATACTAACTGCAGGAGGGTGCTTGAGCACCATTTCGGACCAGACTGGTATTAGCGCACGCTACTCACTCAAAAGAATGCTTATCCCGAGGAATTTGTTGACAAGCTTAGTTGAGCAAAGACTAGGAAGGCAGTTGTTGCGTCAGCGTCTAGATTGGTGGTCACCGGACTAACTGCGCAACCGCACCCGGAACTGTGCACAGGATAAAAAGCATCCGCCCCCGCCCCCAGCTAAAGAACGCCCACCTGTGAAACCCAACTCAAACTTAATTTATC